ATTGATTGAATGCTTAGAAGTTTGTCTACGTGTGCCATTGCGATCTTGTACATAGCGCCGAATCTTTGCTCGAGTAGTTCTCTCGCTTTGATATATCCGTCACCAGGTTTCATATGGAGGCAACTTCTCACAAGCTGTTGAGGACGGCCTACAATATACTGTTCCAGGTAGTACAGCTTACACGAATGATCTGGTTCCTTTGACGCGATTAGAGTATCAAATGCTCGTAGGAAGTTTCTTTGCTGATCCATTATGGTATTAGGATGAGTATGAGAGAAGAAATCAGGTGGCATGAGGCGTTCTTCTTTGAGCTTTCTGACTCTTCTTTGGCCTTTACAGTCTTTGGCTCCTCTTTAACGATTGGTTGATCGAGCTGTTCTTTATCCTTCGATATGTCACTCTGTCCTCTGACGTTCAGGCTCCTTTTTCCTTCTTTAGCTTTTGCACCCTTTCTCCGTTCTTCCTCTTTGACGCTCTTTAAATCTTGTTTAGCTTTTAGACTCCTTAGTTCTTCTTCGACCTCTAAGCTTTCTTTTCGAAGTCGAGTTTCAGTTTTTCTTCTTTAAGGCGGGCTTCCTTCTCGTGTAGCTCTTTACGACGCTGAATAGATTCCTGTCTGGCTTCCAGCTCAGCAATCCTAGATTTTGTGGTCGTTTTCAAAGACGCTCTTGAAGTCAAACTCGACAAAATGCTTGAAATAGATTGAGTAGGTTGTTTGGCTCCCGGTTCAGGCGTATTTTGTAGCTGCTTTTCCATAGACGAAGCCCACTCGGACACCTTTTGACAGAATTCTAAGTAGTTCTTTTTCACTTGGACGAAGTACATGAACGATTCTGTCCTTGCTTGTCCATCCTGTAATACGTTGYCGTACGCATCATTCGCCTCGCAGAATTTATCAAATATCGTACAGTATTCGCCCATCTTAGAATCTACTAGATCCAGGTTTTCCACGTCATCAYGGTTAAGCAGAATTGGTTCAATTTGGTTCTTTTTACGTGTTAGCGAAGCAAGAGCTCTACTCCTCTTCTTCTTCAGGTGTGTGATGATCTCCAGATCTCCAACGTAGTTCGGCGGCAATTCACTTGCAATAGAGCGCATAGAAAACCTCTGTATTTCACGGCGTTGAGGCCATGAACGCCTATCATCTTCTCGGGTAGTTTGTTTGAACGATGAGGTCGCCATACCGATAAATTTTACGGATCAAGTATTTGTTTGTTGAAACGCTTGTGAAGCAAGCAAGGTTCCTACGTAATAACAAATTTACAAAAACAAATAACTAATATATAACATGGAAAACGATATTAAAGACAAGGAAAAAATGAAAATACTTACAAACAAACTGTKTGACAACGTACTCGATACTAGATATGACGACACTGACTAAAATATTCAAAACGACCGCTTAAACTGAACGAAATTTTCATAGAACATTTAAGGAACAAAGGAAATAAACGAACATTGACAAATGTTAATTAAGCTGACAAGTACAATGGCGAACACTACTTAGCGGAACAAAGACGAAAAACAAACAAAAAACGACTGTTGGCGCTATGGCGCTAACAGTGGTTGGTGGTGACGGACAGTATGAGGCTCGCTAGTTGTATTGGTTAAGCGAACCTTTCCCCCGACTGTCTCTAGGATCTGGGGTTGTGACCAACATTCGTCATTGGTATTGGGACCGTTCGAGGTGTTATCGCACCTGGGCTCCACTGCGATTGTGGTATCTATTCCGAGTTCGAGGGGGACATCAACTTCRATGTAATCACCKGGCCAGATGACGGATGAGGGGGAGGAGGAGCGCAAGACGTATGCTTTGGCAGCTCGGATGTTATGGGTCGGAGAACTCGGCAGGTCGTCAGTGTGGTATTTGAT